TATTCAGGGCCTCCGAAACGAATGCCCAGGTCCTTCGTGTTCCAGAGGTATCTAAGGAGCCCCTGAGCCGCAGCAAGTTGTGCAGTTCCGGGACAATAAAGGTACTGCGAAAGTACCCCCATTGAGAAGGAGATGTCAGGACGGGTGTAGCATGCAGGGAAATTCTCAGAGCCAATCAGGGATTGGCACTTGTGAGTTACCTCGGGCGAACCGCCATCCTCGGTATCATCCTGGTCCAGTTTCTCAACTGTTTGAGGCGAGATGGGTACGTTCACACGCCCAGTTCGAGCCTGATCGAAGGTTTCAGCAGTGCGTTGAATGTACGTGCTCTGTGACAGCCACAGAGTCCTTTTCGCACGATCCCTGGCGATTTTTACGCCGAGAAAGTGCTGGGCAGCGCCCAAATCCTTCATTTCGAAGGCAACAGAGAGATCCTGCTTGAACAGATCAATCTTAGAGCGGTCAGCGCCCAAGATAAGGAAGTCATCCACGTAGCTAATCACAAAAATGCTACGCTCCTTGGAGTAGTAGACGGCGTTGTCAGAGATCAGAGGTTCAAAGCCAAGGGTCTGAAGCGCGCCACGAAGGCGCTTCTGCCACTGACGAGGGCTCTGCTTGAGGCCATATAGGGGCTTTTCGAGCTTGAGAATCATCCCTCGTCGCCAACCAATGGTGTTCTCTTCTGGATACATCTCAAAGAAGTCATCCAGGCCGTCAGGAGTCTCCATGTAGATCTCCTCATCTAATTCTCCCATCAGGAAGGCCGAAACGGCGTCCATTTGGTCGATCTCCCAATCCAGAATGGCTGAGAGAGCCAACAACAGTCTCCGGGTGGTTGTGCGCGCGCCAGAAGCTTGAGTCTCGAAGTAATCGAGACCATGGCGCTGCATAAACCCACGAGCAGTGATCCGATCCTTGTATCGAACTGTTTTACCAGTAACCGGGTCCTTCTTGCGCTTATAAACGTGACGAGAGGTTAAAGGCTTGCGATTTAAAGGCATTGCTGACTTCCAAAGCGCCGAAAAGGTCTTGTTACGCAGCAGCGCGTGTATCTCGAGATGAGTACCTTCTAACCATTGAGGTGCTTCAACTGACGCCATCGCCTCCCGATAGTTGGAAGGTTCATCCGCTTCAGGAAGCGCTTGATCAGGGTCAGCAGAGGGCCAATTAGCATAAGAAGCCTGAATTGTAACATGTGGAGAGATCCCGGGAGTTGTGATCTCAGAAACGTAATGGTTCTGCGACCTGCGGTTACGCCCTCCGGATAACACGTTGCCAGGATCCATCCCAGCTTGTGATCGCGGTACTGGAGTCGGCCTATGAGATAGATCTTGCTGAGGCAATTCCGATGATCTAGTCGGCGTATCAATTGGGCCAATATCGGGCTCAGAATCGCTGAGTGTCGATTGAGGGTCGCCGCTGCCATCATCGGATGCGACCGGTGAGATGACCGGAGTGCCCAAAGTGATGACGGGCTCAGAGACATTTATCGATGTGGATTGATTCCCCAGAAGCGATGTACCCATCTAGAATTTCAAGATGTGCACTGGTGATGACCGTCTGCGATTCAGGCAAGTAAACCTGATACTGATTAGAGCCAATTGAGCGAAGAATTCGCCCTTTTCTCGCATGAGGAGCCGTCTTGTTGCCCTGAACGCGGCGCTGACGTGGCAGATGGACCACGGCAGCCTGCCCGATTGGGAGGAGATCGCTCAGATCAGGCTTGTTATCCTTACCAGGAGTCAAATCGTCAAAGAAGACCTCATCTGGGGTCCTGTTATCCTTCTGGAGGAAGGAGGTGTAGCTCACGTTGAGCCGATCACATACTGCAGGGCCAATAATCGGCCAGAGAGACTCTGGCAGCTTCATCTGCTCAATAACACTCCGAACAAACGAATGAATCACGCCGAGAGAGCGCTCTGCTACCCCATTTTGCTCAGGAGTATATGGAGCGCTCAGTTCGAACTTGATACCTTCAGATCGGCCCTATTTGACGAACTTGGCGTACTCCGTGCCGTTATCCAAGCGAAAACAGCGAGGGTAGCGACCATACTGGAGCTTCATCCGCTTGCAATAAGAAATGCAGATGTCTGAAGCCTCGCCCTTTCGCGCGTGAGGATGATATTCACGCTTTCGTGACTTGCCATCAACTAGCATCGTGGCTCGTCTAGAACCATCGTATCCTTTAGCCGAATGGTGCGCGGTATCAGTGTGAAAGGGCCTGATCAGGGTGTTCCTGCTCGATTCGGGAGACCATTCGACAGAGATTCGTCTCCAGACAGTCTAAGCAGGTGAATTCCTTTGCCAATTCGAGCGTATTTGACGGTAGATCGATGCCTTTGACGATTTTGGCCGTTTTGACGATATCGCCAATCGATCGGTGGCCCAGCTTCGTATGCCAGAGGTGAAGGAGCTTCATAGCCTCCCTTTTAGCCCTTAATTGGGCACCAGGATCACTTTTTTCCTCTCCTTCAGCTGAGAACAGGTTGACAAATGCCTGTGGAGCGCGTATGATGTTGTAAGACTCCTTCTGTAGCGGTGGAGTGATTACCTTCACATACATGCCGCTGTGAAGGGATGTCACTCAGGTGCCAGCAGAGTCAAATAGATCCCGAATCATCAGATACCAACCCTGACGATATAACTGATCGCCAGAGAGGAGGTTGATCTGGAAGGAGGGCACGTAGAGCACGTCTGTGATCAATCGAGTAACTGTTCTGCCTTCAGAAGTGACAAAATCGATCTCCACGTCGCCAACACCAAGTGGTTGAACGGGGCCACCACCTGTAGCAATTGGAAGAAGGTCAGGGTCTATTCGGAGACGAATGAACCACTTCTTATGGTTGCAAATAGGAACCGTGGATCCAGAATCGAATAGCCATCGATCAGAGGCGGCAGAGATGGCGTGAGCGTGAGCTTCAGATTGAATTTCAGGTTGGAAGGGGACACTGAGGTCAATATCCACCTGATTGGCGCCGCAAGGAACGTTGAAGTATGCTTCCTGTACCGTAACGTCGCTCGCAGTTCTCGCAGGAGCGTCACCATGATCTTCTACGGCCGCAGAAGTCTCCCGGCACCAGTGAGTGGCGGGAATAGTACCGCTAGTACCAGATGATCCCTTAGAAGAGCCGCTTGCAGCTCCCTTCGAAGCAGCTTGTAACACCTGCTTCAAGATGCGTTGGTTGCAGCCATCGTGCCCCTTCTTCTTATTGAGCTCTCCACACTCAAAGCACCACACAACCGTAGTGTTTGAAGCGCCAGGATCCTTCTGATCAGGTCCCCGAGCGCCTCCGGAGCCTCCTTTGCCCCTGTTCTTCTTTCGCTGCTTGTTGCCTTTGTTGGCGCCAGCAGGAGTGGCAGGAGTGGCAGGAGCAGCAGAAGGGGCAGGAGATCGGCCCATATGGGTCGCAAAGGTCTCATCCTGCGATTTGCGGATGTATATCTCCTCCTGAAGCTGATAGATGAGGTTTTCTGTCGTCGAGTAGATCCCACGGTTATAATCCCGTGAGATTTCGCGGTGGAGGGTCGGAAAAGAAGCCCTGATTGCCGCTCGGAAGTTGCAAATCCGACTCATCTCCATGATCGGAGTATCGAATCGCAGATAAATCGTCTAGGACCGACGATACCTGGTCGATTGTCATACCAGAAAAGGCACGACGAAGGGCGATCCAGATCATCCCAGGATCACGCAAGCCGGCAATGCGATAACCTGCTTCCGGCTTAATATTTTGCGTGATTGAGAGATATATGATCGCCTTTTGCGAGCTTGAAAACGTCTCGCTGTTAGGCTTCTTCTCGTCAGTCTCATCTTTAACCTTGGAAGAAGCCTTGCTCGAATGACCATCTACGTCGACAGCAGAGGTCTTGAGCGAATAGGGGACCTCATCGTCCTTCTCGATGGCCTCTTGGATGAGAGGCCACAGGTTAACTGCGGTCAGCAGTTGCTCCATGTTTTGAGCCCAATTCTCCCAATTTTCGTGGCCAACAAGCTTCTGAGAGTCCAGAAGCCTGATAATCACCTTGGAGGAGTGCTCGTTCGAGTCAGACATGATGGTGATGAGGGGATACGGTACGTGATAGGTGGCTTCCGACGTCAGGGAGCCTCTGTTATAAAGAACAGATTCGTATTCGGAGAACGGTAGGGGACTGCGACAATGAGGGTAGCTAATCCTCGTGAAGCAGTGAAGAGAGAGATGATCAGCAGCAGAAGATCTGCAAAGGTCGTGATCGAAAGCGAGATGCTACCATGTGAGATTTCAAACCGTTCTGGTATTAGAAGGGAAAGAAGGGATAGCTGATGGGGGTACCAGGTCGGTTGGTCGGCGGTGTTCCTGCTGTATTTGTAGGCTGTGAACTTTGAGGGGAGGGCAGTCGCCCACGAACCGCTGGTCATGTTGACGTGTCCCCCGAGATCAGCGACGCCGAAAAGCTAGCACTCTAGGAGTAGAAGGGTTGGGACTGGCAGGCTGGGCGATCTTATCCAGTAAGAGCATAACCAACGCCGCCACGTCAACGCGGGAGGGGGCCAACTTGGTTGACAGAGCATTGGATCGACACAGCTCAGTTGGAGGCTCGTTCGGGTGAGTGGTATTGGTACAGTAGTCCGCGGAGTGTCTTTGTTATTGCGCAGGCCGGCGAATGCGCCACTGATCCGAGCCTGTCCGCTTTGAGAAGCCGGTGCAAGATGTTTAAGGCCCTTCCAGCAACCAGGGATATTGTTGGATTAAAGGTACGCCTAGAAGGCACCTTGACAGGTAGACAACGGAACCTAGTTGTTCCGTTCCGATCCAGCCCCCCTCTGGCACAAAGCTGCCACGGTCGCACAAGGACACTCTAGACGGAGGATATACACAGATACACTTCAACCTCACGATTGGCTCAAATCTAACAGATATCACCCGGGCTCGATGTTAGAAAATATCATATCTCGTTACAAAAATGCGCTGACGGGTGAAAAGCAAAACAAAACAGTACCGCTGACGGCTGCGTCAGTCCACAGCCTACGCCAACTTGGATGTCCAAAATACCCGACCAGACTTGGGGCTTTTCCAGTAGAAACATGAAGTACCGTCAGCATCCTGCTCCTTCCACTCCCTTGACCTAGTCTCAATTTCTTGATCATGTAAATTGTTAAAGCAGAGTTTCCCATTTCGTCGGTATGTCTCTACCCAGTGAGACTTCGTTTGTGATCTTGTGCTAGGACGCGATCGACTTTTAGCTGAGGATGTCTCAGCAACACTAGATGGCGGACTGTACGACTGCCTCGGGCGCTTCGAGGTGGGACCTGTGCTGCTAAAATCAGAAGTAAAGCTCGTTATAAAACTTGTGGACGGATCGCCATCTAGTGCTGCAGGCTCCTGAATGGGATACTGGGAGTCGTCATCCGTATTGAGATATGGTGGAAGAGCGTTGAAATCAATGCTCTGATTGAAAATGTCTTGCTGAAGGTCGTCATGAGCGGTTTGAGATGTGTACGCAGCGTTGGCTATGGCTGGACTTGCGTCGTTTTGTGCAAGTAGATGAGTCTGGACCACTCGGCTGTTAGCAGTCGCAATGAATTCATTACGGTACCCGCTTGCCATGTCCCTCGCATTCCTGAATGCGGTGGCCCCGTCAACAAAGGTGTTCCGGTCACTCGTCATTGCAAAGGCCTTGACTTGAGTCATGTGGTACTCGGGCCGGTCCCCTGGAGCGGTCGGCGCTGTTGGGTGGTGTGCATACAGCTGAAGTGTGCCCGTTCCGGCATGATAAGTTGAGCTCAACGAGTAAGCGTTGTTATCATAGACCGGCTTGCTGCTGCCGTAGTTCTGCAGTCCGTGCATGGCGCGAGCTCCATACGCTCCGTCATAACAGGCCTGCCGCTTCATGACAGCTGCACTTCCATCCTGACGCTTAGCTTCCAGGAAGAAATTCGGTGCCACTGGAACAGTTGGGTGCTTCGTGGGAATAATCAGCGGATATAATGATTCATCCTTTCTGACTGTGTTGTCAATGTCGCGCAGATGAGAACCATCAAAGAAATCAGGCTGAGGCCTGGATGCTGTCCCATCCGTGATAGGTTCAAGCTCGGTAAACACTACGTTCTTCTTTGAGGGAATAACGGCATTGCCGCACAGTATTGGCACTATTTCATCCATCACATCACTTTCGAGCACAACCCTTGTATTCTTCCGGCTGAAATCCCGGAAGGCCGAGTCCGGAAAGTGAGATGGTGATAGGGAGGCTCTGGTGGCTAACAAATCCCAATGGATTTCGCCCAAGTTGCTAGGCTCCGGAGTTTCACGGTCATCTGGATGATCATACCCTGCCAGGTATATGCCATAATCTTGTAAGTGCTGTTCGAATTCGGGCCCACGGGAGGATGCCGACAATTTCCTGCTGCTCGGGGAAAAGCTCGTTGCATTGGTAGTCCGGGTATTTCGGCTGGATCCGGAGTATCGCGAAGAGCGGCTGGAAGCCATCATATCGAGGCTGGGTTCGGGGCACTAGATAGGGTACGTCAGTCAACGATGCTATCACGCCTGTAAATCAAGTCTCACCCCTCGAAGATGTCGAAGATCGGGACCACCGTGCCTCGCAAATCTGGCGAGGTCCTTTGAATATACCTCTTCTGGTGTTACTGTCGTCATGGGCGGTCGAATGCTGTTTCGCCGGTCGAGTTCACGCAGGGCGCGCGGCGTCAGCCAGACCTTGGACAGGTTATCCCAGAATTCCGGTGAGAAGTTAGAAACACGGTGGTGGCTTCTTCCCGACTTGATCTTCTTGCACGGATGGCCGCCTTGCGCGCCGTTGCCATCGTCTGCGCGCTGTCTCTTTCGGTTCAGCGGCGTCGCCATAAGCGGCCATGTTTCGATGTCGGGCTGGGAAGGGGGATACGGAGGGGTTAAATGGGTTCTGAAGTGCTAGAAGCGCTTCGTCCGACGGCGCGTCTTCGACGTTGTCGAGCGGCAACGAAGGATTGGTTAGGAAAGTTCCATGTAAATGCAGTTGGAAGTTGGAAGTTGGTTGACCACTCATTTACGCGCACGTTGGGAGCGGGGAAACGCCAAGCTATGCACGCCAAGCTGGTTCTCATGGGTGACGTCGGAGGCCGGAAGTCAGTCCATCCGACGGAGCTAAGCCTGATTGTACTAGTCCAGAATGATCAACTTCAATTCAGAGGCCTGAAATTGACGTATATTTCTACCGTTGCTTTCATCGGCATACGTCTCACCGAAATGAAAGTCAGTATTGCATTCCACGCTTTGTGTCGCATATGCTTATCTGGTTTTAGGACATTCTCATTCAAGGAAGATATCGCGTGGATCGCAAGGTTGGCAAAGGAGGATTCGGCGTGGTATATTCTGGTGTGTTACCTTTATTATCACAGACTGAATAATAAGCTGATTTCAAAAGGGACCGACCTGTATAACGACAATGAAGTGGCTATTAAACTCATGGAATCCAGGAATGATCCACGAGAACTAGAGGAAGAGGCCGGCACATATCGAGCGTTGGCTGGCAAGGTTGGGATTCCGCAGGTATACTGGTTTGGAGAGGAGGGAAGTTTTTACGTGCTCGTACTCGAACTTCTCGGCCCGTCACTCGAGGACCTGTTCAATTATTGCGGCAGGCGATTCTCACTCAAGACAATCCTCCTCATTGCTGACCAAGCCATTTCTCGAATCGAACACATCCACGGCCACGTTCTCTATCGCGATATCAAGCCTGACAACTTTCTTATGGGGATCGGCAAGCAGGGAAATATATTATATATTATTGATTTTGGCCTGGCAAGGGAGTTTTCTGATGACGAGCAGTACCGAGGCTATCAGGGTCTCCCTTTTGGTGGGACTACCCGCTACGCCAGTATCAAGAACCACGAGGGCCTTGGTAAGCATCCCCAGGCACTCCTCATAGCTGCATCGCTGCTTACAAAATTGAAGAGCAATCATGGGGTGATGACTTGGAATCCCTAGGGTACATGCTCCTCTACTTTGCTCGTGGTTCTCTCCCTTGGCAGGGTTTGAAGGCCGAGATAGACGATGAAAAGCGCGAGCTTGTTAAACAGAAGAAGATGACTCTATCGGGCGAGGAGCTTTGCCGGGATCTACTGCCCACCGAGTTCACCGAGTTCGCCAAGTACATCGACTACACGCGCTCGTTGCGATTTGGGGACAAACCTGACTATGGGTACCTTCGCACCCTTTTCCGTAATCGCTTTCAATCTGAGGGCTTCAAGTACGACAACGTCTTTGATTGGACTATCAAACGGTACCACGAGACCAACGGCGAGATCAGCTAGCTACCTGCATCAACAGCAGTATCAGCCCATACGCGGTAGCAAGGACCAGATTGGCGAGATCCTCACAGCAAAGGATCCGCCTCTGGCTGCGTGCGGAGACGACGAGTCGAAACTGACTATACGACATGCACGATCCGCGGATGACAATGATCCCGTCACACACTATTGCTTCCGCCAACCAACTCATGAAGGAAGCCTTGATTCGCGATAAGATTTCGATCGAGAAGGACGTGTTGTGATTCGAGATGGAAGCTGCTGTATTGATGGATCAATTCTCTTTCCTGGTCGTCCGTGGCATTTGCATCCATGTTGATAGTCACAAGAACATGAGTCATCCTGACGGTGCACTTGAGCTTGCAGACTAGGTCCTATATGCGTTGCCATACCAAATTTTTTTTTTGTAGGCGTCTTTGTTTGCCGGAAAAGGGCAGATGACGTGGAGTACCGGCGAGGAAGAAGAGGGCAACGAGGACGAACTCGTATTATCTAGTACATGCCCTTAAATGAGACCGACGAAGAGACAAGGTAATGGACCAGGCTCTTCTTTCTGCCTATGCAGTATGATGACCTGCCCAACCTGTCATATCAAGCTCCAACCAGTTCTGATCCAGACAATCCCCAGGAATTCTTAGACAGCTTTGATCCGCATACCCACAAGTTGGGCTGGCCATGTTTATCTCGCGTGTTGAATCGAACAGGGACAATAAAAGTGATGCTGACCTTCAGAGGGGCCACCCAGGGAAGGTAAGCCGATCAGACAGAGCTCCAGGTAAGAGATGTAACCTCCAACGACGAAGCTCCAGACCTACCTACCCAGTACAAGAAACTGATTTAATCGTCATATTATCCGAGTTCTGACAGGATACAATCGACCTAAACGAATCATATTTGATCCAGTCATTGGTTTGGACGGTAGTAACGCGCGAGCCATTTAGCGACTGACACGTGCATCGCAACACGCCTTTCATCTCATCCTGTCCCATGCCGAGGGTGCAGTCGCTGCACGAGTTCTTGTAACCGATTCCCTAGAAGAGATAGCCGCCGTTGTTACTGAAACACTGGTCAATGTCGAGGACGAGACAACTCGTAGCATTGTCTGCGTGGCAGGAGGCCTGGAGAGCTCTATCGGTAGCACAGAAATTATAAATGTCACAGGTTTGAAGGAATGGGAGCTGGCAAGCGACCACAGCCATGGGATTTGTGAGGCTGATAGCGATGATGTTTCCCCGCTTCATGCTGTGCGAGAGCGATTTGCGCGGTACTTCGCGAGGTGATAAATTTCTGGAAACACCTTCTGGCTGGATGAGAAACCTAACACATGAACTACTTAACTAACTTTCGGTAAAGATGCTCGAGCGTACGAGCTGTTCGGCACTTGTTCTAGATTTTATCCTTTTACCTGTCTTCTAGACCGGCACTCCGGAATTGGCCGGTAACTGATTACTAATGTAGCTAAAAATGGCTGTTAGATACTTGTTCTTACTATTGCCGGTTCGGCCTTATCCGCGTGCGAATGGTATGGCTATTGACATGGCCTTTACAGATAGCCACTTCGGGATTGAGATAGTCGAAAATCTCTCGGAGTTCGGAGTCGTCTGATATCTGGAACGGTCAATTTCTGGCAACTACCCACTGAACAAACATCCTTTGGAACTTTGCGCGATCAAAACTCTTGACATAGCTATTAGCTATACGTTGCTCTTGCATATCCGATATGTCTAGCTTTGTCTGGCCGATTGTTTTGGTAGGCATTCTGCCTTGGCCTTCTACCTTGATCTGCAAATTTGATTTTGTCTTCCCTTCTGGTGCAGCTACCTATTACCTGTATCGAAGATTACATATACAACTCATAAGAACGGTTGTTCTCCATAATCGGAAGGCCCAACACAATCAATGGGAGTCTGCTACAGAGTTCGACCGCGTTCGTTCCGATAGAAGACACGCGATCCTTTGCTACAATTCATAGAGGGTCCTCATTCTCGAATGTTCCGCTACGACGGTGTGAGCGTTATTAAATTCACCATGCCCCCTAGGTCCCTCGTTAGCTGGGAAATGTCCATCCTTATATATCCAGGCCGTATGGCGCAATGGTCAAATGCGCCTGGTTGTGTTCTCGTTTGTGCGGTGGGCGACGAAAACAAGTGGGTTCGAATCCTGCTATGGCCCCCTTCTGACCCGGCTTGTACGAGTCGACAACCAGCACACGACAGTGGAGAAAGCCCCATTATCGCAGAGCCCAATAGCCAAGCAGCTTGTCTCCACAACACCCACTCCTGCGAGGTTTCTCCCCTTGTGGTTTCCCTCGCCAGCAGATAACAAACACCTATTTCACCCACCAATGCGACATATATCGAACGGTTATTGGAACGATATGGTACACCAGAGGACTGAGGTTCACTGGGTCACTTTGTCTCTGGACAGGAGGTTTTTCTGACGGTATCGTGCTTGGGTATTGATGAAAACCATCTGGACACTCCAGATTGGTACCGCTACAGCGAGGATAGGCTCGTGCGCGGATCTGAATGTATCTAGACTGACACCTCTACAACCTTGCGATGCAATGGCTCTGGGAGGCGTGGTTTGCCCCATTGAGGGACTGCACCCACGATAAATACAAAACAAAACAAACAAACAAACAAACCTTATATATCCAATCTCTCTTTCACTGCTGCTCACTGCGAGCAGGCTTGAGCAGAACCATGTCACGTGATCCCTATTCCCCAGATCACTGACCGGGTGCCTTCAGTCTGTTCCGGGTTGCGCCCTTGTTCTAATTGGCCTCTTCGTAGGCCGCCTTTCCCTCAGGCCTGCCAACAGGCCTGTGGAGTTGTTGGTTCGCAACACCGTCCTCTGTAAAGAAGGGAAAAAGATCTGCTTTATACTCGGGCGCTGGTCTAGAAATGGAGTATCAATGCCGGTCGGATAACCGCCTTACCAGGGAATCGTCCAAAAATGAGATGGAGTCTCCATGCTTTTAAAGCTTGATAGGACTGTACATATCTTCTGACACCTCCACAACCATGCGATACACAGGCTCTGGGTGGCGTGGTTTACAGTGCTGTCTTGGAGAAACTAAAAAGTTCCAGTCAATAGTGCATGAATTCTAAACGTCCAGAAAAGCCTCAATAATTCGTCCAGAAAGTAGCCTGTTAAGATGAGACCCCAGGGGTGTGGGTTCATGTTGATAGTAATTGCAGTTATGAGGCAGATCAGGTGGGTTTACGTAGTGATCTTCGCTGCGTCGATCTGAGAGTCGGATCGGCTGTACCCCCACATACTCTAGATCCGGTATTGGCCGCAGCCCTGATTATGGATCAGCCTCAGGTGGGCCTAGAGCAGTGCTTCTGGGATGCACGCAGCATGCGCTAGCTGTATTGGTGCAAAGTTTTTGCGGCGTCTAAGCCCTGCACGAATTAGGCATAGCTTTGGAGGCTCTGAAATAACTACTCTTCCCCGTTCCGTTCTCTCCCCAACACACAAGCATCCAGCAGAATGTCATGCCTTTGCCACAAGCTTCTGCTAGGGCTGTACTCTACCATTACCGAGAGTGAAGTTGGTGCCCTAGCTTATTTCTGGAGATATCTTGCTGATCCACCCATAGCGTAAGGTACTGAATCAGGCCTGGAGAGAGACACCTCACCTCTTTCATCCTCAACCGACAAGCCCAGAAACCGAGACCTCCGTTGTCCCACCGCAGCAGAAGAGATCGCTTTCCGATACGGATATCCAAGCACGAAAGCATCCGCGATTGTCATTTAGCCCCTATCCCAACAACACGAACCCGAACCAACCCCAGGACCAGCCACTGCCGGCTACTATTGTCACGAGGTGGTATATGTCGACGAATACCCGTTCGAATTTGAAGAAGCATCAGATTCTGAAGACATATTCGACTCTGGAGACGAATACAGCGCGTTTCCCATGCATGTGTATTACGCCACATCACTGCCTCCTGACCTATCCTTCATAGCCCCTCGAGCATCGAAGACATGCCATCGGACGAGGCATCTATGGCCGGTTTGGAAACCTGCCAGGGCGCCTTTAAGATGACTCATAGACATTTAAGAAGCCCGCAGAGACTGCCGACCTATGGATTGAGGCGGCTGAGAATGAACGGTTATGAGTGGCAAGTGGGAACACGACAGAGACGCATGCATCTTCCAGCTGTCACACATGCCGCTGCTTCTCCACAACTGGGGTTTTTCTGTCCTGCCTAACAATATCCACAAGCTAGTGCTAAAACAAGTCACCAGCATTGCCTCGGCGGCCGACACGACCAGGCTAGACGATCAGGTACACGGTCAAGGTCAAGATCAAGGGGAGAGGGGCGCAGACGAGGAGCTCGACACAATCAGGAATTTAAGCAATGGGCTTTTGACTTGACCCCCCATGTCCCTGGCCGAATCACGCACGGATCCTTCTCAGATGGCCAACGACTAACCATCTTGGTTCGTGCATCAACTTCTGTCGCTTTGCTTCCCATATTTTGGATGGCCCTCACTATAGGGGTGTGACCATCTGTTACAGGGCACTGTCCAGATCGGGAGTTAACGGCTTTTTACCAATAAACCTCCCAACACCCCCTGTGGCTTACGGCCCATTCAACAAATTCACCCATCATCACATTGGCATCCTTCCCCCAATGTTAATCTCCAAGTAGCGGTCGTCCCCACCGCTGCTGTCGTGACTGCCGTAGCTGCCCCCCGTCTGATGCTGCTGCTGCTGCGTGTAGTAGCCGGACGAAGAGGCCTGGTACCGCGCTTCGTCGCGGGGGTAATCGTCTCTGCCGCTCCCGCGTCGGCTCTCGCTCTCGTGGCCCCGCGCCACAACATGTCGCATGCTGATCCCGCCCCAGGACAGACCGGAGAGCTCGTCATCGTCGGCGGTGCCGAGGTCGGTTACGTCGGGAACATGGTAGCTGCTGCCCGCGTACTCTTGGTTGCGCGAGTCTCGCTCCTCCCTCTCCTTCTGGTCTTTGGCCTTCTCACCTGTTCACGTTATGTCAGTGCTGTGCCCCTGCGTGATCTGTATGGTATGGGCAATCATATCATTCGTACCCAACTGAACAATCGTCATCTGGACTCGGTTGATGATCCACTTGTAGCGGTTATCAATATGGCGGGTTCTGGCTGCATTCAGAGGGTTGAGAGCAATAGCTGCATCACTTTCAATCATGCCGTAGCTTTTATCTCCATTGCGCACGTCTTAAATCGCGCATGTACTTGTCAAGCCACTAGTATTCGTAGCCGAGATATTCAATCCATGTCGTCAGCCTGTCCTGTTTCTTGGGGTCTTCATCGAGCTCAAATGGTTGCGTGAAGTCGTGGCCCGCAAGCCGGCGCCTCATTGCTTCGACATAGTCGCGGAACCCTTGGCAGCCGCGTTCTCTGTAATAGTATCGCTGTTCTTCCTGTTTGAACTGTTCGAGGTCCCATTCTGACCAGAGGCATTCCGGATCAGCTTCAATCTCGGCCAAGCGCTTTGCGCGTCCTCGGAACCGATCGTCGCTCCGTAACCTGTCCTTTTGCCGCTCGACATACACCGAGAAACCGCCATCATCATTTTCCACATAGATGAGAACCAGCACGCCCAGCTTCTCATGCTTGAAGAGACACATCTCTGTTGACATGGGGACGAATCCAGCGTCCTTCATGACTTTGACAAGGGTCTCAAACCACCACAGGGGAGCTTTGTGAAGGCCATACAGAGCTTGGTTGAGCTTCCAGACGCGCTTGGTTCCATCAGAGTAGCCCTGGGGTTGCATACAGTAGATCTCGTATTCGTCAGGAATCTTGCTGTTGAGAAAGGCTGTAACCATGTTGTATTGCAAGCCGACAAGGCCTAGTACTCCCATCAAGGTAAAGAAGATCCGTACGGAGACTGCGTGTGCAACAGCAGCATAACTAGACGAGCTCTATTGCGTAGGAATTCACCAACAGGTCCAAATCGTTGATCTGTAACCCATTTGGTCGGCAGAGCCTTCTTGCCTTTGGGTAAGTAGGTGAGAGTATACACATCTCGAAGCTTCAAGGAGTGTGTTTGCTTATCGAATGCGGGTCCCTATGCTTTCCACAATTCAGGGTCTGATCTTGTATGACTTAGCCATGGCTGGAGCCGTGGTCGAAGTCATAATCTTATCAACTTTAGCAGCAGATAGACAGTAGTCCTTGTCATTCGAGAGACTCTGGAACGATAACGACCTCCCTTCACCCACCTATAATAACGCCAATCAGATCACTATCAGCAGCTGGAATAATAATGACGCTATACACACAACCCGCGGAAGTATTCCTTTGTGAGGTATTATGGTGAGAAGAGACCTTATGTTGTCAGAAGACAGCAAGTCTGTACTGTAAGCTTGTCACAGATCTTCACGAGGCGGACTTGGTCTGCGGTGACGCCAAGCCGTACAACGTCCTTGTCGACTGCAAGGAAAGAGGCCTATGGTTTATAGATTTTTGGCGGCAGCTTTACCCGCACTTGGTACCTTTCGTGGTAAAAACCATCCGTGCGCTTACACTTGTTAATGTATTTGCATGCAGCATAGCAAAACCTTTAATACTTGGCATTGAGCCGCAATCTCAGACCTCAACACCAAGGCCAGAATCTCGAGATCTGCCTCGTTCCCTACTGAGGGAGCGAACTCAGTACTCGCTGGAGCGAACTCAGTACTCGCTGATGGCGTCCCTTACAACAACGTGAACTACCTTCAGTCTTACTCGATAAATCACGGGCTGGAGAAGCTACAGTCAGATTTGGAGGAGGAAAGCCCCTGGATTCTCTCGGTACGACACACCCTTTGGAAATATAAAATTCCATGTCCGATTACGAGATGGTAAGTCCATCCCGATCACCCGAAAATGGGGCCACCCTTGGTTCTTTCCCTCAGTATCCACGACTGCGTCAACCGGTATTCTCCTCATAGAAGCCGAGCTGCGACGTATTCACACCCGATTTGGCCACCCTTCCGTTGTATTGCAAGGGAACAAATGGTCCCAATGCATCCACCGATAATCAATATAGACCTTGCCCTTGATGGTCACTGTCACCTGCCCGTTAGCCAAACCATAGGCAACTTTAAGCAAGAACGGTTATCTACTCGCTTTATTTTGATCAGCTATTTGTCTTATAATGACCGTGAACTTATTGCGTTTCAGTTGCTAGAATGTTAACATTTCACTAGCTCATAAGAACGCCAATACCTGAGATTTCACTGCCGTTTTTATCGTACCTTGACAGAGTATTGGTCGGGAAAGTTTCTGTCGAGGTATTCTTTCAACCGATCGGAGCTTACTCTTGATGCCGAAAAGGACATGGATCGGGTTCCATCGTCCCCGGGTTCGGGAAACGATGGCGCAAATGCGGTCTATTGCCCAAATTGTTCTGGCTTGCTAGGACTCATTTTCACAGTATTGGGCGGATTTGGGGGCAGAAATACCCTGCTGTTCTTTGCGGGGTGGGTGAATTTGTGGCTAAATTGGGTGACGAGATCACACGAATGATTCCTCAGTACTTATATATTCAATTAGAAACGGGGCCAGTTTCTGACAAGTTCTACGTGGCGTCTGACAGTGAGTGGCTTCCGCGTATCTGCATGTAATACGACAGAATTCATGTAACTTGCCAAGAACAGATATCCGAGGGAATATCTAGATGACCGGCGTAGCAATCGCACAATGCTTCATCCTATGCCACAGTAGGGTAGCTCCGACGTGCGCCACTGCTGGAACGATTGGTTCGCAATGGTCGTAAGGCTGGCACCACCCCCTGTATGAAACCGTTGGATCCAGGGTGTCTGCCTCGGTAGGGTTAACAGTCCCTCTGGATCGTGGTCTGACTATGAGTCATCCTGATGGTGCACTCACATTGGCGTCACATCACGTAAGGGCAAGCTAGGGTACAAACACAAATGGACTAGGAAGCGCGAACAAGACTTAATATATAATATTGCTCCCTGCTAGATCATGATGGGTATTATGAATTACTCACAGCCTACTAATCCTAGTCGCCTTTTGACTTTTTTTACAGCCTATGTACAGGACCAGCCGGTAGCTGGGATAATAATAAAAAAATGTTTTTGATTATACGTTGCAGCCACTGGCTCAGAAAATCCACGAATACAAGGAGTATGAACCATTTGAATGCCCACGTCACGATACAGAGCCATGGGCAGAAGCGAACAAATGCTTCTGTCCTCAACCGTAGCATCACCACACCAGACCAGGCTATTCTCGTCATTGTCAATACCATCCGCAGGCCGGCGGCACTTCGTTGGTCGGGTGTAATGCTTATCGACCGTGGTTGGGCGACTGGGGTTCTGCAGACTGCTGGGGATCCCTTCGATCTCGTCGGCATGTGTTTTTGCTGCCGGCTGATATTCTGCCCGTGGCATTTTATATCGACGTAAGAGAAAAGCAAGATTTCAAAAAAACCAGTTCACAAAGTCGCATGCGAGATACAAACAAGAACAAAAGAAGAACATGGAACCACAGAAAATCTTAAAAGCTTAGAGAGATGATATGCACATTATGTACGTTTAATACGAATGGCCATCCTTGCCACACGAGTAACATGTGATGCTTTGACTCATAAGCAGCCCAGCACGAGTCAGCAGGGACTGTTGACCTATAAGTTCAAATGTACCGGGGACTCAACCGCAACGTACTGACCTCCGGCAGGTTGTTTGGGCTTGTTTTACTCCCAGTGGTTACCAATCATTCTCAACAGTTTCTAAGCCCGCGGCCAAGCCTCTGCGCCCAAGGTCTGTGTAAGTTCTGTGACACATGTGCAGCTTTACTGTGGGCATGAAGATCTGTATGGCCAGCGGTGGATGATCGATATAATGCGTCAATATATTGGCTGCAGTTCTTGGACGCGTTCTTGTTTAGTAGGCCGTTTGATGTCATGCCTATCAATTTCTTGAAGAGTCTAGTTTCTGTAGCTTCGTTAGCCAAATTTAGTGTACAGAAGAGCCATATTACCTAAGTTCTGTGCTTGCCAAACCAGGTGTACTCTCCGAGTGCGCCCCCCTCCCGGCGTGGTAGCCGTGAATGATCTTGATAAGGTACGGAAGCATCGAGGCTATCCCAGAACAAGTCGTTATTATCGAAACCAACGCGTAGTCGTTATTCTCAAGCGGAGAAATACTTACACAGCACGACTTCTTACGTTCTGGATATCTATTCTCAGCTTTACAAACTCGTAAACGAATCTAAGGAAGGATTAGCGGCTCCTCAAGGCCACCATCAAGGGTCTATTTTAAACAGTCCGAACTCAAAGAGATCCTCCAAAATCTGTCTAAGGCTACCTTAGAGCAAGAAATACATACAATCACGGCTTTAGAATGAGAGCACGACCTATTACGGTTTGAACTAGCGGGTTTGAAAGCTCAATGGGCTTCGATCTACGAAATTATGCAAAGTACAAACTGGACCTAGAACCCCAGCCAGCAACCCCAGCCAGCAACCCCAGCCGGGAGATTTATAACGTCAGCGGATCCACGCTTCCCAGTCTGCCGTCTGAGTGGACTCTCTCGAGAACCCCATTTCGCGCGCATTAAGAATATCTTGGCGTGAGTTACTGGTCACGGTAGACGGGCTTTTTTATCTTTATTTCGTAAATAACTTTGTGAACCAGTTTTTTTCAAAATCTTGTTTTTCTCTTACATCGTCATAGAAATCCATGGTCACCTCATCCCGCAGTAAGAGCACAGCGAATATCGCGGCCGGTGAGATGGGGCAGTCGACATACATTGGAGCAATGCTCTGGAGTACGGAATCGTCAAGATACGACCTATGCCCACATAAACCCAAATAGATGACCGCAAAGCGTAAGGTTATGTATATTATGGTCTGCCCTTTGTCCAAGAATTATCGAGCACGAGACTGTTCAGGGGGATTCTGGCGCCGAGATGAAACGCGGCTACGAGGCTCAGACTGCCGCCACCCTCAATCAAATAGCGACGCTCTAGTCCTGTCACGGCGAGCGTACTGAGGAGCTGGGACATGGCCGGCAGCAAGCAGCTATTACTCTATTGACGAGAATATCAAGACTAGAGAGGAAAGGAAGAGAGAGAGAGAGATAGGTACAGTGGGAGGTTGCCCCTTTAAGGGGATCCTCTGGTCAGATCCTTCCCTTATTGGGAAGTATCCATTTGTCATGTGGGAAGGTCTGTGCAGGCCGTCACAGCGGTCATGATAGCCATGGATATTGTCAGGAGTGGCAGCATTGATACGCTTGTAGTCAAGTTTTCTACCCATCTTGGTCTTTATCTCTGGGTTCTGGCGGATGAAATTTCGCATGTAATGGCCCCCAAGATGAGGCGGTTTTCCCTGGGATTGTAGGATCTTCTGGATGATGTACCTCACATTGGCGTGAGTAGGGGTATGGCCGGCCTTTTCTTGGTACAGAATCCATGAAACTACCTTTTTTTTTTGAACAGGGGTTATCTTCTGCCCGTGAGCATGTTCTTCATACTAGGTGCCAGTTGTAGGCATTGCGGAGTCTTTAACTTTACGAGAAAGGGTGGTTTTTGGTATTCCATAGCGCTGGGCAGCCTTCCGGAGGGACAGATCGTCACCGTTCACGGCGGCTATCGCCTCAGCAAGGTCTTCTTCGGTGTATGAAGTCGTCATTTCGACGTACTGAAACCTATGATGCTTACAGAAAAAAAGGAAAAAAAGAACCGCAGAACTTCTGCCTGGTTAGAGAAGATAGGGGGCACGGGTCCCATTACCCCTCAGATTAGGGCCGGACGTGCTAACTTCCGGCCCCTGCCACGGGACATCCCGCTATAAGACACCTAATAAATTCCATATT